CTGCTTGTCTTTGGTGAGGCGTGTGATGTTAGCTGGTATTGATGATGTTGCTACTCGCAACTGCTTTTCCAGGTTTGCTCCTAGATTTATTGAATTTCGAGTCCCGCCTGCGGATGCCTTGGCAGGGCCACACCAAATGATTTCGTTGGCCTTATACGGCCCGCGGGCCTTATACGGCCCGCGGGCCGGACGTTCCCCACACCTGCCATAAAGGAAAACATGTCATACTTTGATACTGTCAAAAAGGTCCTAATTTGTAGCTTCTCACCCCGAGCTATGAATGCTCTGATAGTGCATTGTCCTGTACTTTTCGCCTTTTGGCGTTTTCTGGTCTGACACTGGTTGAGATTAGGCCCTAAAGAAGCTGTCTCTCGTGGAGGCCAATCAGTTACACAGACAATGCCATAGATTATTTTTGCATGTTCACCACAAGTACCGCGTGTGCTTAATACAGATTTGACTCCTTGCAAAAGGTTTCTGTTTGCTGTCTGATCGTCTTAGCACCTCCTGTTTTATTGCCAGGAAGGGTAAAACATGTTCTTATTTTTCATACTCCCAAGTTGCTCGCCATGCAAAAAGTTTACCCAAGACATGTTTTTGAGCCGGTAGCATTCGACGCGAGTTTCGAGGGAAATTCATGGACGAATGCTGACACGCAAAATGTGCGTTGCAGATTTAAACACAACGCAGTGCTGTGCATAATTGTGACAATAGTGAGTGGCTTTGCGTGTGAAACCCGCGTCCTAACAGACTATTCATTCCGTATGATTGTGCTCTTGCCTCGGTGAGCCTCACGCCTCTTAAGCAGTGGGTCCTAGGAGTTTTCACAGTAGGGGGATGCGATGATTGCAAATTTACACGATTACAAATAAATGTGGTACCTTGATGCAGGCTCACAATGGCTTACTTTAACATCCACCGCCAAGCAGACCGGGGAGTCGTTTTTTTTTTGTTATTTTATTCTGGTTCCTACTCGCCGCAATATTAACCAGGTGGCGGCCGCTGGAAATTCGAACCGCGACCCTCTGCAAAAGACGCACGGCGAACGCAGCGCCACAACCCCGCCGGACCCAAGGCGACGCCAGCTCAAGGTGCGAATTCACCACCTTGGCCCCAATGTCAGCAGCAGCAACAACAGCAGCAACAACAGCAGCAACAACAGCGACACACAACAGTGACAAGTTTAACCGAAACAGCTTTCACACACACACACAGTTTGCAAAGCTTTCTTCAAGGCGGCATGATGATAATAATGTCGATAAAGGAAAGCGGAAGAGAAGATATTATCCTTAACACTGGATGGTAAAAAAAGGTTACAAGGTAGCTATCTATGAGAATGTTCGTGGAGCGTCTTAGGCCGATTGCATCTTGTAACTAGCAGGAATATAACATTTGTGACAGTTTCACAGTTCTCAGTGGGAGGCCGAGCAGCAGCGATCTCTATCTGAAGCATAACAGCTGAACAGACTGCAGGAACCACCACAGTGGAATTAATACAAATTTCTGTTGTCTGCGATTGCTCTACCTCGTACGCTTCACCATTCTAAGCTGCCGTGCCAATGCCCCATCTTGTGCCGGAGAGACGCGCACGAGGCTCCCCGTGACAGTTTGAGGAAGCATTGGCTGCAGAGCGGCTGCCACGTTCATCATTGCACAGTCAACGAAACCAGTCCATCGTTTGTTCATTCTCATCCTTCAACAGCAGAGCCCAGCTCAAGTCCCCCTCCCGCCCCCACACTCGTTCCCCTCCCTCTCCCTTCACACCTCCACTCACATCTCAAGCCTCACCATGCCCGTAGTCTCTACAGTCTCCCCCAACACCCTCATCTCCCTCTTGCCTCCCGCCCAATCTTACAAACCGAGCCATTTAAAATACAGTAGCCTACTATACGCGCACGGTATTCAGGCCACGTCGCCACCGTAGAGGAGAGAGGCCAACGGGGACGCGGTCCCAGCTGAGGCCGTGCGGCCCTGTGCAGCGGCGCGACACGCGCCGAACTCAGGGCCGACGGTGCGGCCCCGTGCAACGCGTTGGGAGGGAAATGAACACGCAACGCAAAGCCCGCGCCGCTGCCCCCCCCCCCCCCCGCCGCCACAACCGCGCGCGGGTTATACGACGCAGACGAGCCCCGAGCGCACGCCGTGGGGCTTCTATAAAAATAGCGGCGCATGCAGATTTCATGAAGACAGCAGGGACGGCGCGGAGCTCGGTGCCGCTGGGCTGGTGTAAGGCTGGGGTGGTGTGACGTGGGGTGGTGTGACGTGGGGTGGAGTGACGTGGGCTGGTGTGACGTGGGGTGGTGTGACGTGGGGTGGTGTGACGTGGGGTGGAGTGACGTGGGCTGGTGTAACGTGGGCTGGTGTGACGTGGGTTGGTGTGACGCGGGGCTGGTGTGACGTGGGGTGGTGTGACGTGGGGTGGTGTGACGTGGGCTGGTGTGACGTGGCTGCTGTGACGCGGGGGTGGTGTGACGTGGGCTGGAGTGACGCGGGGCTGGTGTGACGTGGGCTGGTGTGACGTGGGGTGGTGTGACGTGGGCTGGTGTGACGTGGGGTGGTGTGACGTGGGCTGGTGTGACGTGGGGTAGAGTGACGTGGGCTGGTGTGACTTGGGGTGGTGTAAGGCTGGGGTGGTGTGACGTGGGCTGGTGTGACGTGGGGTGGAGTGACGTGGGCTGGTGTGACGTGGGGTGGTGTAAGGCTGGGGTGGTGTGACGTGGGCTGGTGTGACGTGGGGTGGTGTGACGTGGGGTGGTGTGACGTGGGGTGGTGTGACGTGGGCTGGTGTGACGTGGGGTGGTGTGACGTGGGGTGGTGTGACGTGGGGTGGTGTGACGTGGGCTGGTGTGACGTGGGCTGGTGTGACGTGGGCTGGTGTGACGCGGGGCTGGTGTGACGTGGGGTTGGTGTAACGCGGGGCTGGTGTGACGCGGGGCTGGTGTGACGCGGGGGGTGGTGTGACGCGGGGTGGTGTGACGTGGGGCTGGTGTCAAGTGGGGTGGTGTGACGTGGGGTGGTGTGACGTGAGGTTGTGTGACACAGCTGGTGTGACGTGGGGCTGGTGTCACGTGGGGTGGTGTGACGTGGGGTGGTGTGACACAGCTGGTGTGACGTGGGCTGGTGTGACACGGGGCGAGGACTCGTCGCTCGCTGCCAGATATTTGGTGATGTGGACCAATACCCAGAGGGTGGCAGCGTGTCGGTAAGTGGATGTTCGAGACCTTCCTTCACAGAAAATAAAAAAACAGGAGATTTCGTCGTCTAAGCACAGAGTAAACTCCAAACGTGCATTCCAGCCGACGTCAATTGTAGCGTCGCCCGAAACGTCGCAGGCGGCGCGGTGGCGCATTGGTCAGCGCCGCTGCGCGACGATTGCCCCCCGCCCAAGTTCGATTCCCGGCCACGGCTCACGTCAAGCGGCCGAGTGACATCTCGAGCGGCGCTCGACTCCTTTCACCAAACCCCACACGGCACGGCGAGGCGGCCATGCTACTCGTGGTTTCGTGCAAGGGCTGCACGTGATCGCCGCTACTTGCAGCGTTGCAAATGTCACGTTAGAAAGCGAAACCCTGACAGCGGTTCTTAGCAATTGAAACGGTGCTGCAATCACGGGGGAAGGCGCCTCTGCTCAACGACAACACATGTCACAACAGCGAACGTTGCTGCGATTTAACTGCGATGGCATTCGCAATGAGCAGGGCACGGTCACCCAGAAATACGCACGTACAATATTTATACTGACACACAAGAATGTGCCGTTTAGACTCCTATAGTATCCGTTGCGCAGCACCTATCAACACACAAACACACAATACCCACATATACAAGCTTGCACTTACACCCGGCACCCGGAGCAACACTGCACACTCACCTGCAGCCACACCTGTGAACACACACACACACAATACACATACACCCCAGATAGCCTCTAACAGACTGGAGGGCAAGTGCTGTCAGCGAGCTCCAAGAAGACCGGGACGTGTTTACGAGGTGGTGAGTGGCCAGCACCACGCCCAACCGCCTTTGTCTCCCGAGTAGGATTGCTTGCATACCACCCCAGTTACTCATTTGAGGCTGAGTCAACCTATGGGATGCCCAAGACCGTTTCAGATGATTGCCACTGGTGTTGGCCATGAGCGGGAATCGAACTCAGGTGTCAGGTTCGCTACACTATCGCTCCCCCAGTCTCCTCACACACCTGTAGATGTACACACCTGTACACACAGACTCCTCACACACCTGTAGATGTACACACCTGTACACAGTCACCTCACAAACCTGTAGATGTACACACCTGTACACACAGACTCCTCACACACCTGTAGATGTACACACCTGTACACACAGACTCCTCACACACCTGTAGATGTACACACCTGTACACACAGACTCCTCACACACCTGTAAATGTACACACCTGTACACACAGACTCCTCACACACCTATAGATGTACACACCTGTACACACAGACTCCTCACACACCTGTACACAGTCACCTCACACACCTGTAGGTATATAAAGTCACCTCACACACCTGTAGATGTTCACAGACTCCTCACACACCTGTACACTCTATCGCACTCAGAAGTGTTGGCGAGTCACAACTTCGAGTCATCCCCGCACCGACGGCTCCGTGCGCGCATTTGCAACGCGAACTCCGACCTCTCCGGCACGCCCGTTCCTTTCACGACGAGGTGCAGCTAACAGGGGGGGGGAGACAATAAAAATGAAGCCGTGGAAACTCCACGACCCCCCCCCCCTCATCCTCCTCTACCCGGGCTCTAAACAATCAAATCATTCGGATTCCCGATGCTCCGCTCGGCTACGCACCCCCGACAGATAATTAATTAGCGGTGACGCGGCGACTCGCGTCGTGGAAGCCGCGCGTCCGTCTGCGCTCGTCGGACGACGATGAACGCGCGCCGGGAAAATCTTTAGGAGGCGACGAACAAAAAAACTTCAATCGGTCCCGCGGATGAACGCGGATGGAGGTGGTTACCTGCGCATCGCTCCCGAGGCGCGCGCGCACGCGCGTGTCCGTGCCGCCGCCGCCGCCTTCGTAGCCGCGCTTCACCACGGCCACTCAGCGCAGCGTGCGTGGCGACATCGCATCAGCGGCGCAACCACGCACACACACACGCGCCTCGTCCCTCCTCCTCCTGCTGCTGCTGCTCGCGCTTCTCCAGCTACAGCTTCACGAGCGGCGACCCCCACACGCACACGCGCACGAGCACACACGAGCACACACACACACGAGCACGCGCACACACGAGCACACACACACACACGCGCACGAGCACACGCGCACACACGAGCACACACACACACACACGAGCACACACACACGCACACGAGCACGCGCACACACGAGCACACACACGAGCACACACACACGCACACGCGCACGAGCACACGCACACGCGCACACACGAGCACACACACGCACACGAGCACACACACACGAGCACACACACGCACACGAGCACACACGAGCACACACACGCACACGAGCACACACACACACACGCACACGAGCACACACGCACACACACACACACGAGCACACACGCACACGAGCACACGCACACACGAGCACACACACGCACACGAGCACACACACACACACGAGCACGCGCACACACGAACACACACACACGAGCACACGAGCACACGCACACACACGAGCACACACACACACGAGCACACTCACGCACACGAGCACACACACGCACACGAGCACACACACACACGCACACACACGCACACGAGAACACACACACGCACACACACACGCACACGAGCACGCGCACACACGAGCACACGAGCACACACACACGAGCACGCTCACGAGCACACGCACACACACACACGAGCACACGAGCACACACGCACACGAGCACACACACGAGCACACGCACACACGAGCACGCGCACGAGCACACGCGCACACAAGTACACACACGCACACGAGCACACACATACACGAGCACACGAGCACACGCGCGGGCAGTCCAAGCGGGCCGCCCTCTCGCACTGTTCGCGCTCTGCCAAGTGTCCCTTTTCAAAGCGGGCAGACTTGAGCCGCGGTGTTGTCGCGCCGCTTTGGAAATCAGCGCCGTGGAGAACACAAAGGGAGGGAGGGAGCGGGGGGGTCTCTATGGGATTGTGGTCACGGGCAGATTCCGCGGACGTATAGGATGTCGTGGCGCAGATAACCCCGCCGATAGCGCCGGGGGCTGGGAGGTGGTGGTGGTGCTGTGGCCGGGCATGACAGTCGCACGGAATGCCCTGGGTGGGGGTGGCAGATGAAAGTGGACACCGCGCGCTTCGCAGCAAACGCCGCTCGCCAGGACGCCTTCTCGCACTGTGGAGGCGAGATCACGGCATAATTAAAACTCGTACTGTACTCGGCACGGCTGTGAACAAATTAAAATGCAGTCACGTTCGTTCAAATGACAATTGGGCCAAATATCTCGATTGTTTCACAAGTGTGTAATGTGAAAGAATGATGATAATAGTAGCGGCACAGAGTAGTTGCTTTGACATAAAGAATATTTTCAACTCGATACGGATCGGTTTGCAGTCAAAAGTGAAGCTATCAGTTGCTAACAATTGTACAAACACGCCTCCTATTCACCATTCTCTTATCCTCCAACCTGTCATCCAAGGTCGCAGCAAACCCAGGACGCGTCCTCAATACATTCACAACCTCACACGCACAGGAGTGTGAGGTTCGAAGCATCCTTCACTTCCATGGCCACGGTCAATTCTTGTTCCGTGGCACAGCGTTCCCATGCGTCCTCATGTCACACATGGCACCCATGTCTTCATAAGGGGACATTCACGCGCTATAAATAATCTACACAAACACAGATACTATTGCCCGGGCACTGGGATTCGATCGCCCCGTTTTCCCCACTTGTAATTGTCATGTGATGAAGTAAACGCTAAAAGCTACCTTCATTCCGCAGTGTCGGGTACCAGAGGGAGCCCTGGGGTTTCCCAGTGCCACCGCGTGCGTGGCGTGCCATACATCATGCGGCACGGACGTCACATTTGTTATCGCGGGGAAATGTTACGTGGCAGAAATCATAGCGCGCATACGGAACCTGCTCCGAGTTATGGTGGATTTCCCACCGCTGGCTTCGGGCCGCCACCGACAGAGAGAGCGCGAGAGGGGACCGACGACCAGTGCCGCACCGAGCAAACAAAACACGGCGGGGTGGCGCCCGTTGCGTGCCCGATGACTCCACGTGTGCCGCCGCGCGGACGTCGCACTCTCGCGTTGCCAATCCTCTGATTTTCGACATCGGTGACTGGATTCGCTCATCGCGCTCACCCATTATCCCACAGGCGAATGAAACATGTGCATGGATTGTCGGCGTGTTGAGGAATACCCGTGCTGTGTGCCGCTTGGTGTTTGGCGCGTGATGCGGCGTGGATAATCACCGACTGATAGGGGCAGTGAACAGACGTTCAACCACAGCCGACTTATTTCCTGGATCATCAGAAATGAACCCTTTCCAGAAAATTCTCAAAAAACGCTCCCCACATCAACATGCCAGAGTTTTATCGCGTGGAATATGTTATGACACGCGGTAATACCAACACTGACCAACACATTGTGTGCCAAAGGTCCCGTGTGTTGGATACAGAATTAGCGTGACAGAGCACCTGGGCTGCACCGTGGCATCGCCTTGCACTGCATTACTGGCACTACAACATAACAACTATGTATATCTGACAATGCTTGTAGATGCCAATCAGCCACCGTTAATAAATAATTGTATAAGGGATATCAAATCTCACACCCGACAAAGTACGATTAGGCCACTGTGTTGTCACTTGTTCGCATAATCCCCGGCACAAACGATGCAGTTTTCCATTGGGACATCACCTACCTGCATATACCATGAATGTGCCACTCTGGTGTGACATGCCTCACCCACTGAAGTTGGCCTATCCATCGTCACCACCAAACGTGTCAGCACACACGTTATAACCGTTGCAATTCGAATAAACGCTTCCCGTACGTCAGGATGGCCAATCTGCAATGCTCCCGATGCCTCAACGCGCCATGTCCCAACTCTCTTAACAGCCTCAACCGTGTTCCCTCCCGCCCCCTGCTCCGTGCGTTCGCTCCGGGCCCTCTGGAGTTGCGAGACCGGCGGTGCGAGAGAGCGCTCGGGCGGTCCCTGCACGAGAATCGATTGAACTGGGACTTGGGGAGGGGGAGATGGAGAGCAATTAGTGCTGGCCTAGTCTGAGCGAGGCCTAATTGGTCAATCCGCCCGCAGGGAGGAGGCGGAATTAGGCTGTTAACCAATTTGTAGGTTGCAGTGCTGTCCTGTCGAAGGTGTTTTATGCCCAAGGACATGGAACCCTCACCCTTTGCCGTTCATTTAATACCAATTGCCATGCTCCAAACGTGCAGAAGATTACCCCCTTCCCCCACCCCGCTCCTGTTACTGCAACCATACGAGAGGCGATACCTCTGCTGGGCACGCTGCTATTCTCGGTCCCCTCGCCTTGGCCCACGTCCTGACATCGCTGTAACGACGCGTGCAGGTGTGTGTGCCCATCCGCAGGGCGCCCAATCGTCCGTGCAATCCCGGCCACCCTTGGCCGCTTCTTCCAACGGCCATTTGAACGCAGTGGCGGTACACCGGTGGTGCGAGATATATATAAAAAAAAGTTTCATTGTCGCAATAATAATTTATTTTCTCGCGATCCGCAAACTGCGGCCGGAAAGTCTTGTGGGGGTGGTGTTGTTGCGTCAAAATCAATGCTCGCGATGTCGAAGCAGTGGCAAGACGAACGACCGTTTCGTGGGGACCGGTGCGTTGCGCTGCGCCGGCACGTTGCCGCCAACCTGGTGGCGTCTCTCTGTCGCTGCAGCCACCTCGCGCTGCAGACAACCGCTCGACTGCACGGCGCGCAAACTTCGTTTTCTCTGTGTGCGTGTGCGTGTGTGGTGGTTGCTGTTGTTGTTGCAGTCTCGCTTTCATGATATAGATGTTCTACTCCGTATGCTTGCGTTGTCGTCATCCTATCCCAGGTATCATTTGGAATCGTCCCGCTGGTTCAGGAGTCGATGATGCAACTCTACGCTCTCGGAGGTTCACATCCTGGTTGAGGGTTGACTGAGCCAATCATTCCCCCATGGAAGATAAACAAAAGAGAGTAGTACCACTTTGTTGGAGAGTCAACAGTGGTTGTCTTATGGATAGACTCACCCCTGCCATATATACGTGGAATTTCCCCCATTGACTCAGTGCTATAAATAGGGAATACCACCTCAATTCACATTTGAACAGAAAATCACAAACTCTAAGGCATGTTACCGAGTAAAATAAACAAATGAAGCCATATTATAATGGTGGTTTGGGGAGGCCTTCATACAAGCAGTGGATTTACCAGAGCTGATGGTTCTACATATACATAAAAAGTAAAGAATCTAGAAATTAGCCTGGAGACAATTGCATCGATTAAATTGTAGTTATTTTCAGACACAAAGTACATTTCTCTGATTCTCATGGGGTAATTGGCTATTAATGACCTGGATGGTATTTCAATTTATCGGGTGGGGACCCAGTTAACACAGGGCCGACCCCAGGCTCTCTGGGAGCTGTGCAGACGCGGTGGCCATCGTGGCCCAGGAGTTCCGTGACGCTCACGAGGAGCCCGTGGCTGGGCTCGGACGCGAGGTGCAACGAGAGCACGACGCCCTTGCTGTTTGGGGTCACGCGACGAGGCATCGCAGTCCCCTTGGTGGCTGGAGGTGGGCGGGCAGATGCCGGCTCCTCCACTGTGGCTGCAAGTGCGCTCCAGTTTATAATCCGCAATTTTTTGTTTAAAATATTTTTTTATTATCTGCTTTAACTTTTTTTTATTTTTCCAGCTATTATTTGACAGATGAAAGTGACAAGAGTGAAGACTGCTGTCACAATATTGGTGTCAGTTGTCAAATGCAGTGACCTTGTTGTTAGTGCTTACGACCTTGACAGCATGGCATCGTACTTGCTAGGCAGAGGTGGGATAGGCCGATACCTGAAGGTGACTTGATACTTTTAAGCGACTGAAATTCACCGGATACCCAACTGTGTAGATAATGTATATCTGAAGATGTCCGGGATTCTGAAGAAATGGGTTTGCTGCATAGATTAGAATTTCAAATACTTTTCGCTGCGTGGAATGCGCGCGTCTCTCGCGAAAGCTGCACACCTGCAACGCCTGCCAGGGCCACGGGGTGCCTCGTGCTAAACTGCGGAGAGATCGCAGGAGATATGCGGCTCGAGGAGACTGCGTCGTGGTGAATGGGG